AGAGAGAGAGAGAGAGAGAGAGAGAGAGAGAGAGAGAGAGAGAGGCCCTACTTCTCAAACTGGGGCAGGTTGGAACTCTGTAGCTCATCACGCACTTGTCCCTGCTTGGAAACCTCCTGCCCTGGGATGCACCATCATTTAGGGACTAGATAGATGTGGGAGAGCCACACCTAGGGTTGCCCAGGGATCTGCCTTTGTCCCAGAAGCATGAAACCAGGAAATAGATGGGATGAACTCAAGTGTGTGGATGTGGCCCAATTAGTCACCGCTATCTGCAGAGCAGAGAGTGGGTCTCTGGCCTGGGGTGCATGGTCCTTGGTGGAGCTGACTGCCCAAAGTCTGGGGTAGAACCTTGGTCCTCTGAGGAGAGTGGGCCTGGTGTCCTGGTTTGAACAAAGCCTGAAAACAAGTGTGGAATCTCGACACACCTGAGCACCCACACACATAATTCTGCCACCCCTACCAGCTCTCACACCCTGCACATTCCTTCATACCTGGCCTTCCCACCAGAAAACCCATTTCCACCCCTGGTATTAAACCCAATCTATCTTTCACCCTGTACCAAACTGTACCCACCCTCTGGCTCTTGGTCACTTCCATCCAAACTAGCTCCCAGATAGATAGGCTGCCCCTGACCTAGCAGCCACCACTTGCCCTTCCTTGTAATGTCCCTCTTTAGCCCCAGGCCAAGCTCCCATCTGTTTATCCCTCCAACCTGAGCCAATAAGTCAACACTTGGGGCATCAGGTCAGGGTTTATGAGGCCCCAGGGGAGGAGGGCAGGAAGGAAGAGCTCCTGACCCCAACCCTCGTGCTGGCTGACAGCACCTGCTGCCCCAGGTCCTTGGCCCCTCCCTGTGGCTGCTTCAACCGGCTTTTCAGGAGACACTGCGTCTCAGCTCATGGCAATCACCCCCTGCCCTTGCCCAAGGGCTGGGAGGCAAGAGGCCTGGGTTCCATGATGACAGTGTGATCCTGACTCCAGCCCTCCACCAGGGACTCTGCTGTGGTGAAGACTCAGGCTCCCTTCCCTCCAGAGCACTGTGAGCATGAGGTTCAGGCTTTCTTCCCTTGGCTTCCTCCAACCCCTGCATGTGTTTCATCCATAAGTGTTCACTGTACCCCAGACAATGTTCTGGAAGCTGGGGCCATAGTAGTGACCCACACAGAAGAAGGCCCTATTCTCTGGAGGTTTACAATTTGGAGGTGAGACACAATAAGAAATAAAGATGGTGTAGATCATAATCCATACTATAGAGACATAAAGATGATATTCCAGAGGGTAACTAATACCATGACAATCTCATGCATGCTCAGAGAAGGCTTTTTTGGAGAAGGTGACATTTGAACCAGAAAGTAACATCTGTAGATGAGGAGGAGGAGGAGGAGGCCTTCATGTGAGGTTCTGGGTTCTGAATTCTAGGTGGCCTAGTACGACAGCAATGGAGGGGCCATAGAGTGGTTTGTGGTTGAGTAAACGGTACAAGGCCTGTGTGGCTGTGGCAGAGTAAGTGAGAGTGGGAGCAGGAGTCCCCAGAGCAAGGTCCAAGACATTCCCACTTCTCCTAGAGTCCTTCCCTCCCTCTGACCATTCCTTCCATCTTTTCAGACTCTCACTGCTGGGGGAACTGGAACTGAGGTCCCTCAGAGAACAAATAGGATTGCAGAATCTCAGGGTCCCAGGGCTGGCAGGTTGTTGGAGGTGAGTTTCTAAAAGAGGAGACCTGGACCCTGTGTGAGGAATGAGAAGAGGAGGTGCTGGTCAGGGCAGATACTCTGCTCTCAGGTGGAGGGGCTTGGAGGGGCAAGGAGCAAAGATTCTAGGGCTCCTCTCTATGCATGACTCACCCTCTCCTCTTCTTCTTCATTGCTCAACAGCAAATCTCCCTGAGAAATACCTCCTTGATGGTGACAAAGGCACTGCTCACAGGCGCAGTTGAGTCATGAGGGGTGGAGAAGAGGGCAGGAGGCAGGATAAATAGCAGTCTTGCTTCCTGGGCTCCTCTCTGCATTCTTCCCATCTTCCCAACAGCATGCATCCTGCCAGATTACTCAGCTCCTGCTGCCTCCTGCTGCTGTTAGGGGCCTTGCCTGCATGGGCAACCAGTGATGACCCACTTGAGAAGGTCATTGAAGGGATCAACCAAGGGCTGAGCAAGGCAGAGAAGGAGGTTGGCAAGGCCCTGGAAGGCATCAATAATGGAATCACTCAAGCTGGAAGGGAAGTGGAGAAAGTTGTCAATGGACTTAGCAAAATGGGGAGCCATGCCGGCACGGAGGTGGAAAAGGGGATCAACCATGGCTTGGACAAGGTAGCCCATGGGATCAACAATGGCGTTGGACAAGCAGAAAAGGAAACAGAAAAATTTGCCCATGGGGTCAACCACGCGACTGGACAGGTTTGGAAGGAGTCAGACAAAATAATCCATCATGGGGTCAATCAGGCGGGAAGTGAAGCGGGGAGATTTGGTCAGGGAGCTCACCACTTTGTAGGGCAGGCTGGGAAGGAGGGGGGAAGGTTAGGCCAAGGAGCCCACCATGCTTTTGGTCAGGCTGGGAAAGACGGAGAGAAGTTTGGTCAGGGAGTCCATCATGCTTTTGGTCAGGCTGAGAAGGAGGCAGAGAAGTTTAACCATGGAATCCTCCATGCTGTAAGTCAGCCAGGGAATGAAGCAGAAAATTTTGGTCATGGAGCCCACCAGGCTTTTGGTCAGGCTGGGAAACA